GTTCAGGGCAGAGGGGTGGGGGGTGCAGGGCAGAAGGCTGGGATGCTCGGCTTGTGGGGGTGCTCCCAGCCCCCTGCCCTGGGCGGCTCATGGCAGGGGGCTGGAAGGGATATGCCCTGTTCCACCTCCTTCCCCCAGGCTCCGTCCCTACCTCTCTCTGCGTCCTCTACGGAGCTGTGTGCACACTGCTGCTCTTCCCCCTCCCCCTTGCTAGGGCCATCAGCTGATTGGCGCAGGGAAGGAGAGGAGGAGGGGCCGGAAAGCACCACGCTGGGGGAAGAAGCGGGGGAGGGGGAAGCTTGGCTACTGCAGAACCAAGCTTCTGCCTCCTGCCCCTGCAGGGGAGAGCAGTGGGCGGGGGGGGCTGAGTGGGGCTGGGGGCTGGGACCACAGCAGGGAGCTGCGTGCCACTCAAAATCGGCTCGCGTGCCGTAGGCTGCCGACCCCTGCTCTACAACAACACAAGCAGATTTTCTTGCAAGAAGGTGGCGGTTGGTAGAGCCCAGTTTACCTAGATTTGTTTCTCTGATAGCACACCCTACGTTTCTTTTTTACCGTTAGGCCTCTGCTTAAAATTGTAGTGTTTTATATGGTCTGTCCCCTTAGGTTTGCTCATCCTTGGGAGACAGAAGCAGGAGGCTTCTGGAATTTCTTTGATCAGCTTTAGCATTTTGTAATATAACTAGCTATACATATACACCTCTACCCCGATATAACGCTGTCCTCGGGAGCCAAAAAATCTTACTGCGTTATAGGTGAAACCGCGTTATATCGAATTTGCTTTGATCCGCCGGAGTGCACAGCCCCGCCCCCCCGGAGCGCTGCTTTATGGCGTTATATTCGAATTCATGTTATATTGGGTCGCGTTATATTGGGGTAGAGGTGTATATTATTATAATTCCAAGCATCCTGGCTATAACATTCTTCTAGCTATAGCTTAATATTCAGTAAAGGTGCAAACAAGTTTTAATTATGTACAAAATATTAAGTTATAATAATTATATAAATCTCATTTTTGCTTCATTATTGAGGTCTCTCCCACACAATATGTACCACAGCTCAAAACCTCAGTAACAAACTGAACTGCAACCCATATCTTCCCTCTAATCTTCATGCACATGTCGAGCAAGTAAGTAAAGATGTGCAAGAAAACATCCTTGGGCTGTATTCATATGTGCCCATAGCAAAACTATCCTGCATGCTGTTGGAGATTTCTTAACTACATCAGTGTGCTACTTACTGGCCATATAATCCATGAATTCATTACAGCTGTACCTGCCCACATTGCACAATAAGATCTAGAAATCCCTCTGATTACTGTGGCTCTGCAAGCCAAGTGATGGAATCAAAGCTTGTGCATCAGGCAGTCTGTCTAGGGTAGCCACATGAATCTCTATCAGTTCTTCCATTGATTAAAAGCTCTCATTCATGAAACTGAATATTTCTCAGTAGTCTGAATTTAGGATTTCTGTATTTTAACTAAAACTTACTATTCATAAATTATTTCCTTTATTTCCTAGGAAGGAAATAAAGTATATTACATTTTATTTTATTAGAAATGTTGTTTTGACACTATCAAGATGTGTCAAGTGAACCAGAGTCCATTTCTGAGTTGCACATCATTTTACTTAGGTTTTAAAGAGGAGGCAATTATACTGGCAGGTATCAGAGGAAGTGAATGATTTTTAAAAGCTTAAGCAGAGCTTGCCAAGACAGAGGCTGATTTCCATGGTCCCCAAGGGACACTACATTTCCAAAGCATGGAGAAACCAATTCCCCTTTTGGAACAGTTTTTCTTGTCTCTTCTTCTCTGACTGGTGTCGTTATTGTTGCTATGGTGAATAAATGAATGCTTCATGTTGCCACTGGAAAAGTCAGCATTGACGTCTTTTGCAAACAGCTAATAGTCCGCCCCCATACCTTTTTTATGAGTGTAGTCTGGTCTGGCTAATTGTGCAAGCTAATTTAAAATGTTTCTCAATGTAAGCCACCTTTTGTGAACCTTTCATTAAAAAGCCTGTCTATTGAATTGTCAGGAATACTGAAGAATGTATCTACCAACATGCAGCTAAAAATAAAATATATAGCAGTCTGTTGAAAGAAAAAGTGGCTTGAAGAAAAAAATGAGGCCTATGTAACAATAGGTCATTTATTTAAGTCATAAAGTATTTTTTCTGAAAAACTTGCTTTTCATATTGAGTGGATTTCTCTTGAAGACAGAGTTATGTAGCAATACAGAATAGCCCTTCTCAAGCTCATGAGTAACAGTTATTATTGAATTGTATTTTGCATCATTCCTGCAACACAGGCTGCTTCCTCTCAGACGCTTGTGATTTAAGTTTTTTTCTAGAGACTGCAGTACCACCTTATCTATCTGGGAGATGCTTATGGTGTCGTCTTATGTACTGAAACTGACTGTGGTGCTGCATTACTCCTCTCATGTCTGGCAAAAAATGGAAGAATTAGATTGTGAAAAAGATAATAGCATTGAATGCTAAGTACTGAAATTAAACGTAAATTATGTGTAATGATTTGTAAATAAGACTTTTCATCTAGGTTGAAAGACACTGCAGCAAAGAATATTTAAGGGGTGAAATAAATGGTTGATACTCGGTTATCCCCTTTCAACAAAACAAGCACATTGTTGATGGTAACATGCCAAGAGATACAAGAGGGACTGGGAGAAGAAAATGGGAGAAGGGCAGTTTGCACACCCCACTAACTTAATGCCACTTTCTTTGTATTCAAAACACAAACCATTCTCAAGTGTTTTCTTGGTTGACTAAGGAGTTTCAGCAATCTGGTATTCCACAGTGTAAACGGAAAGAAGCCACATGTATTGAAAAGCTGTGGTGTGTATTTTATTGGGAACTATTTTTAAAAAGAGCTTCAGTGCAACCTTTTTATCAATTGCTGGCAGACTAAAAGAGATGTTTTTTCTTGCATTTGGTAACATCTGTATGTGCAGCTCACATTTTATTCTCTCACTCTTCAAAAATATATTCTATACTGTGTTGCTTTAGGGGCACAGCCAGCGACGAAATGTGCAATTTCTACATTATGTATTACATGGAGGCCAAACATGCTGTTTCATACATGACCTGTACACAGAATATAAACCCAGATATGTTCAGAAACATTCCACAGGAGGCCAATATTCCTATTCCAGTGAAGTCTGATATGATTATGATGACACATGGACATCATCATGAAGGTAAAAAAAAAATGTCTGAAATTTTGTTTACTCTTCGTTTGTTATATAAGAGACATGCTTAACTATGCAATTTGTATATAAGGATTTTTATAAGAATCTAGATATGTTCTTTTGAAATTTATGAAATGCATAGGTCTGAGATGCAGTTGTTAATAACTGCTGATTTGTTGGTAGCAGTGATTTGTGGAAGTTTGCTTTATTAGTCTTTTATCCACTTCTTTGTTCAGGATTGCCATGTTTCCTTCCTCCCATGGTCCAGCCATAGTTTTATCATTATATTACATGGCCGCCTGTGCAACTAAGGTGTCTCACAGTCTTTCCAAAGTGTCACATCCTATATTGCCCATTAGAAGTGTTTAGTACTGTAGTTTCCCTGTCCCATTTGCTGCGTGGTTCAATACATCACTCCCATGATATTTTTAGCTTCTGCTGGTTGACATGAGAGAGCCCAAAGGTTTTGCCACACACCTGAGCTCTCTCATACATTGCTTCAGCTCTAGACTGTGTGTCAGGCATTCATAAATAAGGATGTGTTGTCTGCTTTGTTAGAACATAGACTAGAAGCCGGATATCCTAGGTTCTGTTTCCAGCTACCAGTTCATTGTAGTCCTGATCTGAAATCCATTGAAGTCAGTAAGAGTCTTCCGTAGAAAGTAGTTTTAAACTCTCTCTGACTTGCACATTTTAAAAATTGGTGTAATGCCAATCTGTCTCTTAAAGTTTTTGTGAAACTTAATGTTTGTAAAGCACTTCCATCCTATGATCTGAAAGTAATATATTGTAATGTCACTGGCTCTTCCTGCTTTAATTTTAGAATACTTAATTGTAGTGGTCAGTTGTATGAAACTTAATATATTATGTTTTAATAATCTCACACATGTATATCATTTACTGTACTACTGCTTTGTCTGTTTTCCCCAAGCAATAGAAACATAGAAAACAAATGCTTGAGTTCACTTAAAAAAAATGTATAGGAAAATGTTAAATTCAGTCCATATACAGAGTTTATTGGTATATTCTTAACCTTCTTTAGAAACCAAGAAAACAGATGATAGTTCTTCACTGAAGCAGCCAAAAAGAGAAGAGGAAGAGGTTTTGGATCAGGGTATGTATAATGAACTCTAACCATATTAAAAAAAAAGAAGTGATTCATTAACTTAAATCACTGGTAAACCACATCCTGATCATATTATATATAAATTAATGTATTAGTATTGTTCTTTCCTTTTATCATCTAAAATGTAATGCATTCTTTACAACTATGTTGCTGTGCTTTATATAATGAATAATTCAGGAGGAATTGGTCAATTACCGGTCTCCAGCCTTGCAGGTAAAATTCATTAGTGCAATTTAATCTCATTAGATTTCTCTGTTCCTGGTTTAATTTGCGTAACACCATTCTAATTTATCTGTCTATTCACGGTGCCGTAGCATGGGTTCACAGGACTGGTGGTTGTCCTACAGAATGATAATTCAATAACTGTTCTATTATATTTTTATTTCTTTAATATGAAAGTATATTTTAAATTAACAATCTGTATGTGATCTATTAGAAAAGCATTTGAACAAAATCAGGGAAATTAAGAGTTAAAATTTACAAGGGTATATAAATTTACAATTTATAGTACAAGGGAGTACTATCTTGTGCTTTGTATTGATGCAATATGTAATGAGTTAAGCATAGTGTAACAGGGTTAATACTGAGCCTCTTTTTGCTATATTTAAATTGACAAATTTAAAATGTATGTACCAGTGTATTTCATATACATGGTTTGCAAAACATCTGCTATGAATCTTGTTCCTTTGTAATGCTTCTCAGAAGATACTGCATCATATCAGCCATTGAAAGGTATATTAAAATTTGGCAGTATTTCTGGTTCATTTGGACCAAATATAATACCAGTTCACCTGTTAAGAATATTGATTTGATATTACATTTTCCCAAGGAGACACTATGATGTCAGTGAAGTTTGATGCATTTTTACTTGAATTTAGCTGGTCTTTACAATTTGGAAGTGCACAGTAAGACATAAGTGGAACTGGTAGATTATACACTGCTCTACAGCCAAAATGCTTCTGAAATAAATATAGTCAAACTTTACTAATTCTGG